ATTTTATCTTGACTTACTACTGTATTGACTACTTCAACATGACAGGTTAAGTAGTGCTTTGGTTATATATATACACTTGCCACACTGCTGCTTTTCCTCTCTCTCTTCTCCTTTTCAGAACCCCATTCACGGTGGGAAATCCTTGGCAACTCTAGGGAACATGCACCCAATGTACATGACTGTCTGGATCACAGCTCGTATCAAGCGCGTTCCATATGACCTTTCCCAACAAATTCACTATTGATCTCGGCCAATCGCCAATAGAACCTATTGTGCACCTTCCTCATTTGTACTCTACTATTGAAAATGAGGCTATACAATACTGTTTCTGTCAGTGATATGGTGTAAATATGCAATCAGAAACTGACTCTTATACTTAATTTAACTGCTATAACTTTTACAGTAATTGTAAAAGCATTTGTGACAATTTGATCTAGCCTGTAAACTGGCGTGACTCTTGTAACTTAGTTATTTGAGAATAAATTATTATTATTATTATTATTATTATTATTATTATTACACTTTAAACACAATGAACTCAGTGCTGCGTCTTATTTAGTTATTTTTACACTCCCAAGTAGCACTAATTTTTCTAGTTGAATATAAATCTCTTTAGTTTTTATTTGAAATAGACAGGTTACTCTACTAACTGGGTCGATCGACACTGTTCAACTGTAAACTGGTTGATTAGAATGCACTCTACTCTCCTGGGCGCAACCTTACCAACACTTACAACTGTGTGAGTTTCACATTGCCTATTATCAATTATACTGTTCTCACTTACACGCTATTGACTTACCTTGGCCCCTTAGTGTTATCTATTGCTCCGCTTTTAACCGCGATACTCTTTATATCTCCTGCTTAGCTAGTTAAGTACATCTTCCCCACTACATTCTAAGTGCTTATATCTTGTTTGAAAATTCTTACTATTTCTCCATAACTGTTAACTGTATAGCATTGATGCCTAACCAATAGTTCATAAGTTGTAATAGCCAGACGAGTTTGTGAAAGGAACTTGCAGAAATAGTGTTTCTCAACAGGATGCGAGACATAGAACACCAAGTAGAACTCAATAGCTTCTTTTAAACATTTAACATGAGCCTAACAACACAAAAGGAGGGAGGGTGGAGTTACTGACCAGCAAACATTGATGGTGTGGGCGATAACTTCAAACCACCCATGTTTGTGGGGCAGAACATTTTGTTTGCTTTCGGCTCTTTAGATTGATGAGACGACTAATCAGTAACACTGAGGTTGCTCTTATACGCTTGCTACTTCTGTGGTTCATGTTTCCAAAACTATGCTGAGGTCGCTATTCTGTCGAGACACCTGCAACATTCTTACTCAGGCGCTAACAGTATGACTTAGAGGTTGGCATTCAATAATAAAGAAAAAAAACAGTTAGACAGTGCGAGATTTTATTCGTCAAATTTTTAGTTTTACAAACTCTACTCTTTCAACTAGAATTTCGATTTCAACGTACATAAATCCAGCTTCTTACTTCGACTTCTCTTCTGTCCACCTGACACTGCACAACTCTCCCTTCTTTTTGCTGTACTCCTTTATCTGTGCGTTATATTCTTATATTCCCATAATTTACTTTAATTTAAGTGGTCAGTATGAATTTTATCTTGACTTACTACTGTATTGACTACTTCAACATGACAGGTTAAGTAGTGCTTTGGTTATATATATACACTTGCCACACTGCTGCTTTTCCTCTCTCTCTTCTCCTTTTCAGAACCCCATTCACGGTGGGAAATCATTGGCAACTCTAGGGAACATGCACCCAATGTACATGACTGTCTGGATCACAGCTCGTATCAAGCGCGTTCCATATGACCTTCCCCAAAAAATTCACTATTGATCTCGGCCAATCGCCAATAGAACCTATTGTGCACCTTCCTCATTTGTACTCTAATATTGAAAATGTGGCTGTATAATACTGTTTCTGTCAGTGATATGGTGTAAATATGCAATCAGAAACTGTCTCTTATACTTAATTTAACTGCTATAACTTTTACAGTAATTGTAAAAGCATTTGTGACAATTTGATCTAGCCTGTAAACTGGCGTGACTCTTGTAACTTAGTTATTTGAGAATAAATTATTATTATTATTATTATTATTATTATTATTACACTTTAAACACAATGAACTCAGTGCTGCGTCTTATTTAGTTATTTTTACACTCCCAAGTAGCACTAATTTTTCTAGTTGAATATAAATCTCTTTAGTTTTTATTTGAAATAGACAGGTTACTCTACTAACTGGGTCGATCGACACTGTTCAACTGTAAACTGGTTGATTAGAATGCACTCTACTCTCCTGGGCGCAACCTTACCAACACTTACAACTGTGTGAGTTTCACATTGCCTATTATCAATTATACTGTTCTCACTTACACGCTATTGACTTACCTTGGCCCCTTAGTGTTATCTATTGCTCCGCTTTTAACCGCGATACTCTTTATATCTCCTGCTTAGCTAGTTAAGTACATCTTCCCCACTACATTCTAAGTGCTTATATCTTGTTTGAAAATTCTTACTATTTCTCCATAACTGTTAACTGTATAGCATTGATGCCTAACCAATAGTTCATAAGTTGTAATAGCCAGACGAGTTTGTGAAAGGAACTTGCAGAAATAGTGTTTCTCAACAGGATGCGAGACATAGAACACCAAGTAGAACTCAATAGCTTCTTTTAAACATTTAACATGAGCCTAACAACACAAAAGGAGGGAGGGTGGAGTTACTGACCAGCAAACATTGATGGTGTGGGCGATAACTTCAAACCACCCATGTTTGTGGGGCAGAACATTTTGTTTGCTTTCGGCTCTTTAGATTGATGAGACGACTAATCAGTAACACTGAGGTTGCTCTTATACGCTTGCTACTTCTGTGGTTCATGTTTCCAAAACTATGCTGAGGTCGCTATTCTGTCGAGACACCTGCAACATTCTTACTCAGGCGCTAACAGTATGACTTAGAGGTTGGCATTCAATAATAAAGAAAAAAAACAGTTAGACAGTGCGAGATTTTATTCGTCAAATTTTTAGTTTTACAAACTCTACTCTTTCAACTAGAATTTCGATTTCAACGTACATAAATCCAGCTTCTTACTTCGACTTCTCTTCTGTCCACCTGACACTGCACAACTCTCCCTTCTTTTTGCTGTACTCCTTTATCTGTGCGTTATATTCTTATATTCCCATAATTTACTTTAATTTAAGTGGTCAGTATGAATTTTATCTTGACTTACTACTGTATTGACTACTTCAACATGACAGGTTAAGTAGTGCTTTGGTTATATATATACACTTGCCACACTGCTGCTTTTCCTCTCTCTCTTCTCCTTTTCAGAACCCCATTCACGGTGGGAAATCATTGGCAACTCTAGGGAACATGCACCCAATGTACATGACTGTCTGGATCACAGCTCGTATCAAGCGCGTTCCATATGACCTTCCCCAAAAAATTCACTATTGATCTCGGCCAATCGCCAATAGAACCTATTGTGCACCTTCCTCATTTGTACTCTACTATTGAAAATGAGGCTATACAATACTGTTTCTGTCAGTGATATGGTGTAAATATGCAATCAGAAACTGACTCTTATACTTAATTTAACTGCTATAACTTTTACAGTAATTGTAAAAGCATTTGTGACAATTTGATCTAGCCTGTAAACTGGCGTGACTCTTGTAACTTAGTTATTTGAGAATAAATTATTATTATTATTATTATTATTATTATTATTATTATTAAGCACCAGGAGCTATCTTCCTTAAGTATGGACTTATTTCTTATCTTTACACAGCGGTTACATACACCTTTGTAGACAAGTAAATACTGATAATAACGACACTCTTAGAGAGAGATTCAATTTTAGCATCTGATTGGAAGCGTATTTGTGTACTTGATGACCCATTGGTTGTGACTGACCTGTCGTGATATAAACCTCAGTGAAATGAATACCTCTACAGGCATCCAACGCTGAGGCTGCCGTTGTTGGTTTTAAGACTTCAGACAAAGGAGTAGGGAAACAATTATATCGTACTTGAGAAGCATGTACGTCATCGGTTCTCCAATTCAGAATTATAGTGTCCTTTTATCTGTCCTCATTCATAATTATCGTTATTCTTAAAAAAGCTTAGTCAAAATAGGTATCATAGATCTGATTAGCGTCAATTTCAAGGTCTAGGTTTTATACCCAAGTCTGAAAGACAAAAGTAAAGACTCATAAAGCTTAAGATTAGAGTCCCGTTATGCATTACTTCCTCGGAAAATCGTAACCGCTTAAGATAAGACTATTCCGTACGTAAATAATTTACTAAGCCAGCTGTATCGCTTTCTCGATTGGAAATGCGTCTCGCCAAATGAACTGACAAAAGTCAACTATGATAGTAACATTATTCTTAGCTTCAAATTCCTAAACTACTCCTGCTTACTTATGAACACTGAACATTGTAATGTCTCTCAATGAAAAAGTGCCTCGAAACAAAGCAAAATGTGTTCATTACTGATCTTCTGTTGAAGACTTGAGATTACCAAAGCTCACTTGGAAAAGGTCCTAATTCTCTATTTTTATTTCGAAATTTCGGATTTAATTTTTGTAATTCAGTTGAACTTCAGCCTACGTTTACCACTCGTATTTTTTAGTACGCTATTTTGTGGCTCTCACCAAGGGCGTTTTATCAGTTGTATTAATAAGCTTCTGTTGAGTGCTTAGCAACCTATTTTCTGGGTACCTGCAGAATACATTCTCTACTCCTTATCAAGACTTCTTGATCCAGTCAGCGGGGCCAGAGACAATCAGATTAGGATAGCCTATCGTGTCACTGCATCCTTGATCGCCATTCCATTTACCGAGTAAGATGAACTCGTAATAGTTTCAAGTGAATCATCTTCAAAAACTATAAAGCAGACAATCGATCTCTACTGGTCCGTTTATCAGAACACTAACTTCGTAGAACTGGTACTCATTTAATTTCAAAAATTTCGCTGTAATAAGTGCTACAATTAGCATGAACAATAATATTATTTAGGTGTTTTATAGGCAGAAACAAATTAATCTCAAAAATATATACACTTAAGCGGGAAGCATCACTATGACCTGTTTACTGCTAGTGGGTTATTTAAACATCAGTGTATCCAAATCTATAAATGTTTCTGTATAAACAGCTGTCCACTAACTATATGTACAAAAGTCACGAAAACGCGCCTAAAGGCGTCACAGAGGAACGGAACAAATACCAATATATAGACCCTTGCCACGTGAAAATGGAGAAAGTTACAAGTCAAGTAATATTATTATTGAGGACCAGTCCATTTTATGGTATGAAAGAAGAATATGTTGATGAAAACATATAACACACCCTACAGTACACAAAAATCAATAATTCAATACCAATAGCTATATGAAAACGGAAACAAAAAAGAAGTGTCAAAATACTGGGTTTAAGATTCTGTGGGCTCCGATCCCCGCCACAGCCATCCACGCATAAGACCTGTAAGACCAGAAGACTTAGATGTACTAGTCTTCAGACCAATTTTGTCATCCAAAGATGGAAAATTAATATGGTTTAAAGCAAGGTCGAAGAAGATTGGTTTTACAGGGACAGGACGAAACGTAGGAGGCATATGAACAAAGGGATAAACAAAGTTACTGAATGACTTCTCAACAGATTTTTCGTCGGCGTAAATATCCAAGCGATCAATCAGTGTCTAAAAGGAAGTATAAAGACAAGAGGAAAGTAGAATTAAAACATTGATCATCTAGAGTCTGCATGAAAAAACAAGTCCAACGTGTTGTTTATCTTATACGCCAATAAAAACTAAACGATAAGAAAAGTCATTTCAATACGCTTGCAAAGGACTGATTCAGATATATTATGGTTGAAAAAGAGATGAACAATTTACATGCGTAAGCAAGGATATAATACAACGTGGAGTGATAAAAATGTGGATATTATCTTTTTAGGTTATTTGCGAGATATGGGTTTGATTATGAAAACATTCATTACGAAAATGATGATATGGTAAACCCAACGGATTACAATGAGCTAGTAAGACGGCGGAATATTCGGTGTAAAGTTCAGCATAGAGGCATTAAATGAGACAAAGTTTTAGACGACGTAAGGCTCGATAGTGAAAATGACCAACTAGCCACAAACTATGCATGAGAAAGGGGAACTTGCGTGTATAAATAGTTGCTGTTGGGAACTCATTGATAAAACTTGTACTTGGTTATTAATATGTGAATATTAGTCCTATGGCATGAAGAAGTTAAGGCGGTCGGTTATCGGCATATAAGTCTCAAATTGTCCCACACCTGAGGTGCAGCTCATACACAAATAACAGGTTAATAAGTTATTTTGTTTGTTATATTCTACAAAAATGCAGTTAAATACCTGAAACACAAAAGACCATTAAATAAACACTGGGATGAAATGTCTAATCAATTGAAACTGATGTCGAAGACTAGAACTAAAATAGTATGCTATTATTTCTTGAAACTAATCAGGCTGGAATAGGCGCAATGAAAATAAAAAGTCTATATTCTGCGATCTTACACGAGCTGTGGCAAACACGCTAAACAGAATTGAAATCCATAAGTACATCAAAAATACCTACTTTTCGTGAACCATCCACCCCTGTGGTATCAGAAAGGGGGGTAAACGACACTGACTCGCTTTCCTCTACTGTATTAAGCATTGAGGCTGCTTTGCAAGTAAAATCTTCTGATTCAGCCTGTAATATAAGAGATTGAAGAGATATTGATAAGGCATCAGGACCAGGTCCAGGTGCGATACATTCTTCAGCTTTAGTCCAGGTTGAAGTGGCGCGCTTAAGAGATGTAATTGCTTTTTCAGCATGTTGTATAGCCCTCGTGAGAAGAGCGGAGCATTCAACATATTTTTTACTGCAGTTATAAGCGAGAGCCAAATAATAGCACCTATGGTAAAGAGTAGAAACCAAATTTCAACCTGCACATTTGTATATAATCTTAGTTAGATTAAAATCACTGATGTCTGTAAAAGACTTATTCAGAAAGTCAATAATCATTAAACTGACTATTACCATGATTGATCAATTGATTATAAATATATAAAGAAATATAAATTAAGAATGTAGTATTGCATACATTGAACACAATACCTTCTAGTAACCGATGGTTAAAGACTGAATGATATGACGCAATTTCGCTTGCAATGGCGCAGGTGCATCTATTTTTTGTCTTCTCTCAAATTCTAGTCTTTTGAATTCCTCATCACCTTTATCTTTCTCTTTTTGAGTTTATTTCACTGGATTATACTTTTCGAATCGTATCTTCGAACCCTAATCTTTTCCACTACTTGCAATACTTTAACTACAATTGTGTCTCTGTGTTAATGTGATATGGCAACTTGAACCGATATACATACGTACGAGGTTTTATGTTGCAACTGACTGATACTTTCGAGTAACCTTAGTTTTTAAGTCAACAACTCTGCCGTTTTGTCAATTTATTACATAAATGCTTTATGAAAAGGCTTTAAAAAATAGGGGATAATGAGAATCAGCTAACGCTCATAACATGAAAACGATCAACCTTCATTTACTATAAATTGTCGAAACAACGGAAACAATAGATGAGAAGAATATACCATTTCCTAATACTGGCTGAATATGAAGAAATAACAAATATGGTGTATAAAACTATATAAATTGAGATGGACATGAAATGCAGTAGACACAGTTGGAAAACACCTATCACGGATAGTGTAAACAATGACAAAATAAACCACTCAGAGAACAGTTGTATGAGTAATTCTAATAGAATAATAAAGCGTCTTATGTCCCTAACTCCTTAAGAATCAAAAATTCAATAAATTTATTTTCAAAGTGTTTCTAGCTCCTTATTATACTACAGCTCTCTGTAAGACTGTGCACTGCTATATTCCACAATTTATATGGTTTTATCACTTCTACAGGTATCCATGCTTTTGTATAATTACTGATGTTGTCTTGACAATTATCCTCAAAGTGTTGCCTGTATCTGTAACAGTATGGACTATTGTATCAGCTACAGAGTTTCATATTTTTTATGAGACCGTTAAAGCAAGCCAGTAAGAAAAATATCAATATCACAATAACTAAGTAATCAAAAATCAGATTAGGATAGCCTATCGTGTCACTGATCTTCGTTAACAGTTTCAAGCGTATTAGTAACAGAAACAATTCAGTCAGGATTAGGTCTAAAAATACCAGAAATTTAAATTGGAAATGCCTTTGTTGGTTCTTAGAGACCATTAGAATGCTTTAAGTAAAGGTTCTAGCTGAATGTGCCTAATGTGTTTTATTGGTGATAATTCAGCTTATAGAACTTGTAATGCGGATTACTAATATTTCACACCAAGATTGGTCATTCTAGCTTTCGGGAGGACCATCATGTTTGTTCCTCACATTATATGATTCATACATGTTGGTCTTGAAATTATTTGCTTGTCACCTTGAATATGCTTATGGATTACTATGAAAATCACATTTCTTAATCCTATTTTTGTATGGCTGTAAATATTAATTTAATTCCGCCAGTAAAACTTTCGGGGATACTGCCGGTCCCAAGCCCGGATAAACGAGGACGGTTGGGCATGGGGTTGGTGTTACGTCCAGTTTTTTGCTCGTTGATCTTACGAAGCACTGTTGTCGTCTATTTGTAATTCACGGTCCCAAATTTCTATACCAAGAACGAAACTCCAAAGTAGATACCAAAGTTTATTCCAAATCACAAATTCGACTAAAATACTTTATTACAAATAGACGACCAATGTCGTTCTAACAACAATAATTATAATAATTACAATTACCTTCTAATTTATTATCTCTTGGAGCAAAAAACTGCAACGAACAACAAAGAGAAACGGGAGTCCAATATGTCCGCAAATAATAATTCAAACAAGTTCACAAGTTAAGTAAAACAAATGTACCCAAAAACAGTGAAATTAATGATATTTATACATGAAGGTTTTGATCAGCAAAATGTCTTCGTTTCTCCCGTAACAGTTGGCGACCCCAACCCACCGAAAAACTAACTTGCCGAAAAAACGCTGACCATAAACAATAAATTAAATCATTTTGACTCTGCCCTGGGAGTTGGAAGAAGAATTATGACGTCTCGTGATGAAAGCCAAGTCCTCTCGGAAGTCTTGAGGCCGATACCTCTTCTGACAACCAGAGCAACCACTCTTTTAAGTACATGGAACGTTCGAACATTGTGGGAGACTGTAAGATTATTTGAAGTTGCTGCAGATATGAAAAGATACCACCCTGAGGTGCTTCGAATCAGTGAAACTCATTGGACACAGGTTAGACAACTTAGACTAGCTTCAAGAGAGCTGCTGTTATACTCTGATCATGAAGAGGAAACTGCTTCAAATACACAAGGAATTGCACTGATGCTGTCCAAACAATCACAAAACGCACTGATAGGATGTGAATCTCGTGGACACAGAATCACTAAAGCATCCCTCCAAACAAAGAAAGAGGACATTACAATGAATGTCATCCAATGCTATGCACTTACGAACGACTACAATGACGACGATAAAGATCAATTCTACGAAAGGTTGCAGTCAATCGTCAACAGATGTTCACCAAAGGATTTGACCATTTTGATGGAAGACCTAAATGCTAAGGTTGGAATGGACAACACTGGATATGAAGACATCATGGGACGACATGGACTAGGAGAAAGAAAAGAGAACGGTGAGAGATTTGCAAACCTATGTGCCTTCAACGAACTGGTCATCGGTGGCACAATATTCCCACACAAACGCATACACAAAGCCACATGGATTTCACCGTATCACACTACTTAGAACTGAATCGACCATATCTGTATAAATAAAAAGTTCAGAAGATCAATGGAGGACGTCAGAACCAAGGGAGGAGCTGATCTAGCCTCAGGTCATCTCTCACGGTGTGGCTGCCGGTAAGTCGAAGGTATCTAGCAGGATTTCAAGAGGAAGGTTCACTCCCGCTGATGGGAGATCCGTTTGCTTATTTGATTCCGATTATCTGACCATCTATCGCCTCCTACATTTACTTCGTACATGACACGGTCCACTCTTCTGATCACTCGCGTTTCTGTCCATGGACTATGGTTTAGTCTATAGTCACGGGCAAATAACGTACATCCAAATACGTTCGTGTATTGCTTTTCAGACTTTGTCCGTACTGGTGGTGATGCATTACTTGGATGTATCAGGCTGTGGATCGTGTTCAGTCTTCTTCATGGCAGGATTTCTGCTGGGGACTTTCACTCCGGTAATGTCTCACTTTGTGTCGATAGATAAACGTACAAGAAATTTCGTCACGCATCAGTTGATGTCCCCTCCCCTTTTGACTTAACCAATGCTTTTTTAAACTTATCCACAAACCTTTATGCTTGCCTATTCGAGTTCGGGTGATATGGTGGCGAATTGATCTTAGTGGATACAGTTCAAGTACGTTTAGAGACTTGCCCACGTCTGTGTGGCAGAAGATTTTGTTTGCTAACGGCTCCTTACCATATAACAGGATGTAACTAGTCAGTCATATTGTTGTTACTTTTCCTCGTTAACCTCGTCTACGACTCATGTCCGTAACCTTGCACTGGTTTTAGCTTCCTACGAAGAAATCCCATTAAAAGCAGACCTGGACAATTATACAGACAAAGAGCTCATTCATAACTTCTTGAGCCACGGAGTTAAAAATAAAAAGCGACATTTATTAGTGTAACCAGTTGTATCAATCAACGTTTCGCTGAACATTTACTTTGTACCATAATTTCCTTCTGCGCGGTCACCATTTCGGTTTTGCTGCTCTGTAATTTTCGCCTATTTTGTCTGGCGCGATTTCGGTATTCATTCGATACCACGAAGTCAACAGCAAATATTTTTATATCATTTAAACTATACTGTCTTCCGGGGATAAAGCTTGGGACCCAAAAGTAATCGGTTTGTAGACGTGTTCGTAGTCATCTGATTCGACATCTTTCTGGGCGGAAATCTGTATGTGTAGAGATAGACGGAAAAATGAAAAAGGAAAAAGGGGTCAGCAAATTATTTGTTACAAGAAAATGACTTCCATTGTACATCGAAATCAGCCAGAAACTTTCGGTTATTATTTGAGCTATGGATTATTTGGAAATCACAACAAAGCGCACTTGCGTAAATGGAAGGGCTGGTTTTTGAAATTAGAAGGTCAAGTGACATGTTGAATTCAAATGAACAAGACTTTTTCGAAAATCAAAATTATTTACTTTACCTCCAGCTAAAGACTTTATCTGGCCATAAAAAGAGGCTTAAAAAGGAAAATAGCGTAACGACATGTTCGGTTAAGAACACAAGGCATTCGTCGAAAAATCAAAGCTCATTCGCTTGTAATGTATTTCAGTCTTCATGATTGAAATTTTGGTCTTGACGAAAGTAACCTAATTTTTTTATAAGAGGAGTGTTGGGACTTGATTGCTGTGTCTATACTATGAAACCAAATTATATTTTTTAAATGTCCAAAGTCATTTGTTTTCATTTTTGAGTTGTTGGGAGTATATATACCAACCTAACAGATTACTGATGGTTTTCGTAGTCTAAATAATGATCGTCAACTATGCTGAATTTGTTGTTTTTGTTCCGGCAGTTAAAAATATTACCTTTTTTTCCAACAAAGCACATAAATTCCCTTAGAAATTTGCTCATCCATCTACATCACAAATGCTCCGAATTCATTCTAAGCAACTGGTAATACTGAATGTCTCATCTAGTATCACCTGGATTTAAAAAATGCATGACATCATTTTACCGCACAAAAGGACTCAAGGTGGAATGAAGATCACTTTTCATTATATGTGATAAAGATATTAGTAACAGAACAATTTAATTTCTACCATATAAGAGTTAGATGAGATCAATTAAATTCAAAGTTACTTGCTGATTGAAAGCCAAACGTTTTCAGAGATATATTATTGGACATTCGGAACTATAGGCTTTCTACTATTTACTACATACAGTTTTGAGATGTGTTATAATCAATCAACGCAATTGTACTTCTCATTTTAGCAACAATTCAAGTTTCGTCGGACAATGTGAGTTTTGTTTGCGGACTCATTCTAATTCAAGTGAACGTCACATTTGACGTTTTTCAAATCACTGACATGGATTTTTCGTAAACGTTGATTCTTTTGTCTCCGTATCACGTATTTGTTTGGCATATGAAGATATTTTAGTATATTCAAATAGACATGATAATGTCACGGAGATTCAAAGTCTGAAAACGCTTTTGTCCATAACACCTTTCCGATTTATTGTTCTTAAATTAGGCAGTTATGATTCCGGAATTGTGGTATAGTGCAGACAAGTGACTTAACGCCTTCACTTTTAGTTTTTTAATAAAACTAATGAGGTTAGAATCAGTATATTGGATATCGGATATATTGAAGTATCGGCAACTTACATTTCTATTATTTTTGAGATTTGTTTTTCTTCTGCGGACGTGTAGCTTATAGAAATATTTCCATTTGAGTTTATGACTAGCTGACGCTTTCTCTACAATTTTCGAAGTCATTTGGATCCGTACAGAAAGAGCAAAAGTCGAACGCAAAGAAATCAATTGGTTTATACTAGCTCGCGAGAAAGATATTGGATATTTGAAACGTTTGGGAAATTCCTTTGTGTAACAACGAAAATCTAAAAGTTCCTCCAAACATTTAGGGAGTCTGCATAAGTTCTCGAGAAAACATATTATTTTTAGCTTTGGGCGATCAATTACAACTTATTTTTTTGAGCAGAATGTCTTGGATATCTTGTATGAAGCAGTACTATATATAGATCTCTTTGCATTCTAATTGCCTCTAAATTCGAAAACCTGATGGAATATTTTGTGGACAAATATCTCCCGTGTTTTACAACAAATAATAGCAAATATAGGCCTCGTTTTACTTTTTTGCAGCTCATTTCGAAAACTAAACGCAACAGTTCGCTCACACATATAAACTCATTTGCAAACCGCTCTTGTGTAGTAGATGTTTTGTAAGTCTTAGACGAAAATAGCTCGTAATTACTTGCGATTTAGAACGCTTTTTAACTATCACAGTTGTTAAAAGACTATTATATTATGTAGGAGATACGTGCACATTTTTGAGGATTAATTTTTCATCACATTTGTTCCATCTCGGATGCAGTTGTTTGAGACCTCATAAATCTACTATCATATGTGTTCTGTAATGTTCTCGGCGAAATCAAAAATATCTGAATAAACATGTAATTGTCGGTTATTGTCTTGTCAGAGACAAATTCGGTGTGTTAAGATGTTTATTTTGCGGATTGTTGAAGTTACTTTTGTTGTCCATTAACGATGAAGGTTTTTAATTCAAGTGCTTTCCTTTTATCGCGCATTCTCAAGTTAACGGTTCATTCGTAGAGCTTCAGTTTTTTTGGATGAAAGTCATCAGCTAGTTGCGACTAAAGCGTCCTAGCTAAGAAACATAGCACAACCAAATTTTTTGTCTGTTACACAGAGTTTCATTGTGTCTGTAAGCTATCAATGCTTTTTTAAAGAGTTTCGATTAATCTGAACCCAGGTTAGTAATTTTTAGATAATACGCCTATAGTAGATGTAGAGAGAACCGATAGTAAATGGGGTATAAACATGTTAAAAGCCTTTTCCTATTTGGTTGCTAGTAAAAAATAACGTTCTTATTTTGTGAAGTTTCTATGTACCGTATATTATATTTCAGAGATTCAGTTATAGATGCTGATGTTGAATTTTTCGCAAATTCTTAAAAGCTGAAGAGAATGCCTGTTTATTTAGTTTTAAAATACGGAGTGTCAACAATCATATTGACAGTATTGTAGAGTTTCGTAAACGTCTCATAACACTTATAGTTTTGTTGAATAAACACGTTAGGTTATTACAGTTGCTTTTAAAAACTGGTCTATAGCCTACTGGCATGAAATATTATTTGGCCGGGTGTAAAATACAGTTTGACTGCTTTGGTTACACTACTAATGCTGTACATATGAGTTCAGTCTGTCATTCATAGACAGAAATCGTTTTTACACGTAATCTGGTTTTCTTAATCGATAGTCTGCTGATACCTGCGTGGTTGTTCCAGAATTTATGAGTCAGTTTTAAGTTTTATTTTACTTTGGACGTATCAACTTCCTTCTCGGTTGATCCAAAAGTATTTTTTCTAAGCCAACAGAATCTATAAATCGGCTTCTTTTCCTGTACTATCTGAAAAATGTAAAATAATTGCTAAACTGAAAATCTAGGGAATTTATAATTTGCCTATTTGGTTTACCTGTGGATATTTGTTCATTACTGTACTTCACTATAATTTATTCTAAAAAATATATATTTCATTCTTTATTCTCAAAAAATTTTTATGATTGTACTAATTCATGAACCATTTTCATATTTTTACGTTTATTTATGCTTCATTTTTCGATGAAATTATGCTTACACCTCTATCTATTTTAATTATAACTGGATTACTCAGTCAGTCAGTTAGTCAGCTACAACGCAAAACTCCGTACGTACGTACATCAGTATAAGCTGCCATCCCGACCGTAGCTGATACCTTGACGTGGTGGTCGGGCTTGCCCTAAAAATGTCACTCCTCAGCCTACCTCACGGATTTCCGTCTCCGGCGGTAAGGGTGCCCACTAAGGGCTTTCAAGCGCGGAACTAATAATCAAAAAACCTTTCATAAAAAAACCGTGCGTGACCGGCCTCAAGCAGTTGTCCCTTGGGCTCCGCGGTCACACTCCCAGGTCGTTAAGACCAACATTAATCTATCTTTCTTTTCAGGCCCCTCAAGAAACAACCTTCCACGGTGTGGCCAGCCGGGAAGTGATATCCGCCCTCATACCCGTACCAGCACACGAGATCACATATGTCACAATCAAATGCTTCTTACATCTCATAATACCTCTCTTATCTCCACAACTAACTCTTCTCACATTCCTTTATTACACTGCACCGCTAATACAAACGAAGCGAGTTCATGAAACGTCATTCCTTAAAAAACCTACGCAATGATCGAGAACAGTAGTGGGTGGCGAAAGCGAGAGAGAGATGGAAAAGACAGCGGTGATAGGCAACAGTAGGCAACCTATTCAGACTGATAAAAAAGCCGGTATTAGAAACCCGAACGTGACTGAGACTCTTCGGAAAAGGATGGTCTTATTATCCATTCTCAATCCAGGAGATTGGATCGATGGGCAGAACACTTAAGGGATCAGTTCAACTGGCCTTCAGCCACACTTCGGTTGCCCACGATCCCCAGTCATCCTGAATGGCAAATCGATTTAAGTCTTACCGGTCTACATGAAGTTGAGAAAGCTATAGGAAATCTAAAGGGAGGTAGAGCAGCAGGACCCGATAGATTGAATCCTGAGATTTTTAAGGATTGTGGTCCAGTTTTAGCAGCGAGATTGACTGAAATCTTAGGTAGAATCTGGGAACCGGATGCAATCCCATCTTGCTGGTCTCAATCCCTGATTGTTCCAGTCTATAAGAAAGGACAAAAGTCTTCTTGTGACAATCACAGGGGAATCAGTCTAACTAATATAGTATCTAAAATATTAGCCTTAATAATACTTCGGCGCTTAACGAAAGCTCGTGAAGAGCAGACTCGAGAAAATCAGGCAGGTTTCAGACCTGAACGTGGTTGTATAGACCACATCTTCACTCTGCGACAGGTCCTGTAACACAGATACACATTTAGGCGTCCTACATTGGTTATCTTCCTGGAAATTAAGGCGGCATTTGACTCTGTGGATCGTGAGGTTCTGTGGCGGTTTCTATCATCAAAAGGTGTACCAAAGAAGTACATTAACCTCATACAAGCTCTCTACTCTAAAGCTACTGGTCAGGTGAGAGCTTATGGCGAAATATCATCGGAATTCTTTACTTCAAGTGGTGTCCGTCAGGGATGTCCACTTTTTCCATTCTTGTTTAATTTCATCATAGACATGCTGCTAGATACAACCTTATCCTCATCTGAATTTTCAGGAGTGGACCTTCTACCGGGAGGCTCGCTTATCGACTTATAATATGCCGATGATATAGTTCTATTTAGTGAAGACGCCTACAAAATGCAGTTTTCTGACTACCCTAAGCAACAATGCAAGCATGTTCGGGATGCGGTTTTCCCCGTCGAAATGCAAAATGTTGCTTCAAGATTGGGTTTCATTGGCACCTGAACTAGTGATAGGGAGTGAAGTAGTCGAACGTGTAGACCGCTTCACTTATCTTGGGAGTCACATCAGTGCTGATGGCCTGGTGACTGACGAAATCTCAGCTCGGATACAGAAGGCTCGATTGGCTTTTGCCAACCTGCGTCACTTATGGCGTAGGCTAGATATCCGTTTGCTGACTAAAGGATGGGTGTACTTCGCAGTAGTTCGCTCCGTCATACTTTATGGCTGTGAAAGATGGCCAATGAGAGTAGAAGATATTCGTAGATTACTGGTTTTCGATCATGGGTATGCTCGTATATCCTGGGACACCCGAATAAGCAATGCTGTTATTAGGAAACGGGTACTAGGTAAGTATGGCAGATCAGTAGACGAAGTAATGAAATTTCATCAGTTGAGGTGGTTGGGACATGTGTTGCGTTTTCCTAACCATCGACTGTCTTGACGAGCTTTGTTTTGTAGTGTAGTAGTAGGTTGGAAGAAAGATAGGGGCGGCCAAACCAAAACATGGCAGAAATCCATGAAGTCATTGACAAGTGGACTGAGCCATGTTCGTAGTTGTCGACTACCTGGTTGGGGTCCGCGAGATGATATTAAACGATGGTTAGAGACCCTGAATGACATGGCTCAAAACCGTTTGCACTGGCTCAGGTGCATCCATTCTTTGTGTTCTTTCAAATCCTAATCTTCTGGATTCTTCAACACCTCTAGTTTTGTCTTTCTAAACTTATCTCATTGAATTATACTTCTTGAATAATATCTTCTCATCCTAACCTCTCCGATTACTTTAATACTTTTACTACCTCTACTACTATTGTATTTGGATCGACAATTATGTCTCTGTGCTAATGTGGTATGACAATATGAGCTGATGTACGTACGTACGATGTTCTACGTTGCATTTGACTCTGACTGACTCTTGTAAGCTGTCATACCAGATTATCATAGAGAGGCAATTGTCAATTCAAATCTCATACTTGTAGAGTTATTAAATTATAAGGTTTGAAGATTTTATTCAGTGAGTATAATCTTGTGAAATAAACTTTAGGGAGAAAGATAAATGTGGTAAGGAATTCAAAAAATTAGAATTGGAGAGAAGTCAAGGGATGGATGCATATGTGCCACTGCAAAAGATTTCAAGCCATGTCGTTCAAGGTCTCTAACTATCGGTTACTATCGTCTCGCGAACTAGATTATTGATGACAAACTTGTTAAGTAATAGTTATTGGACAATAGAAAAGTCGTTTGGCTCAGTTGCATAAATAAAAACTACATTCAAGTTTTCGAAAATCGTAGCTGTCATGCTAGTAATTTAAAATCTCACTAAAAAGATCCGGCATATCTATTTGTGTTCGCTGTTTAAAAAAAGAGCGCATTACATTCTGTCTTTGTAACTTTGGTAATATGTTGCAACAGTAATGATGCATAAATAAAATCTTCATCGTTTAGTTCTACGGGTACAAATGTCACTTTGAATTATATTACTTATATTCAGTTTTAAGCCAATATTGAAATTATCTCGTTTTATTAATAATCTTTTGTTAAGCTGATATACAATTTAATGACTTGGCATGAACACTGATCGTTCTTGATATTTTAAATATTCATTTTAATATGATGAAGAGACTAGCTTTTCTGCTTACACTTTCCAGCACTTAAACTCAATGTGAGTACGTGATAACCAGAACTGTTGGAAGATGAACAACTTTTTAGAAAGTGTCCCTTCCAATTTCATGAATAACAATAATATTAGCACTAGTATTTCGCCAAATTTATCGTTACTTCGTAAGTCCAAAACACTTATATCAAATGAGAATGAATCATATTTTATGGAGAAACGGAAAAACAAAACTTCTATTAATCGACACGATAAGGGGGCCAGACGCCTAGCCTTGTTTATTCAACATTTTAAAAGACGTGCAAAATCTGCAGACCCATCCAGTGAAGCAGTCTATTATGGTGCTGTAGAATCAAGGAACAATTTAAATACAAATAAGAACGCATTACACGTTAATCATCCATATACTGAAACATTGTGTCAGTCTAAAACAAATATTTATGGCATAAACCAGAAAGCTAATAGTCGCAATTATTCAGTTCAAGCAACATCACCTACCGTCCCTGCAAATAATTCTCATTTATCTTCCGGGATGTCGATTTCGGCTTATGAAACGAACAATCTGATAAATTCACAACAAATAGAATCACAAACGTATCACAGACCTAGACCAGCATCATTCCATCCTTCAAGTCAAATATTAACTTATCATAATCCATGCTCTTATCTAAATAATTCAGTTCTATCTCCCAATGAAGATAATTGTAATCACATTTCACCATATTCATATTGTCGAATTGATAATTCACTTTACATGGAACCTAATCATCAAACTGTTAATAATGTAATAATGTATGATTCTATTTACGACTATCCACCTAATCTATCACCTTATCCTTGTCCTACATTCATACCCTCTGAAGACATTACACCAACAAATGAAAATGTGAATCTTTTCCCAACGAATACACAATCAAGAATCCGTCCAACATCGGTAGATTTTTATCGTCTACGTAAAATGCATCAAAGTATGAAACAACTTTTTTCATTCAATGGGAAGAAAGCAAATATCACTGAACAGCCTTTATGTAATACAAGACAGTTGGAAGAAAATAATATAAAACGTTCTTCATTTACTGAAAATAGTCAATCAGAGTTACCTGTTATCAGTGTTAATGATAATGTAGCCCGTATATCGTTAACTGACTCGTCAAACAGAAACTTAAAAAGAACAATTCTACGTTCTTTCAGCTGTAATCCTAGGTCTAATTATGATCATAGACGAAAAGTTAAATCACATTCATTAAAATCAGAGAATGTCACTGTGGATAATTACGATAAGACGACTGAATTAAATAATAATTCTAGTTTGACTAAAAATGATGCACAAAGTCAGTTACACGTTATTAGCTCTCTCAGGACTGAACCTGTTAATTATATTACAATATCTTCTACAGACGATAAAAAACCACGTCAAGTAAATTCAAGATTTAGTATGATGAAATCATCATCTATTTGTCAAGTAAGTCATTTTTGATTCTATTTGATTCTATTTTGATTCCATTTATAACATTAGGCTCTAGAAACACAATTTGCTCAGAAATTTCAATTTATAAGTTTCCAATTACCTAAAATCTAGGAATGTATCTTTATCTTACTAATCATTTTTCCAAGTAAGATAGTGTCCATCTTAGATCGTACTGAATTTATTTATTTATAAGTTTGACAAGAATCGGAAATAAATTTCAGTTTTACTAGGCTTTTTCTTAAGATTAATTTAATTGTAATTATTTAAATACATCCAGTATTCATTAACAATAGTTCCTCAATTCACAGTCACTTTTGTAAAGAATTAGTCGCATATATATATATATATATATATATATATATATATATATATATATATATAAATCGTAGCTAGTGGAGTTCAATACGTGTTGGATAGAAGATAGTTAATCACCGCAGGCAATAGATGAAGGTTGCACAACATGGCGAACCGGTTGAATTTAGACATTAAAGTCATTGAATCCCAAGTCTATGGCTTAGTGGTTAAGCGTTCGCGCTCAGGATCGAAAATCCTAGATTCGATTCCTGCGTGCAACAGCTGTGGATGCTTACTGTTGAGTAGTCCCATATTAGGACTGAGCGGCCGTCCGGTTGCTTACAGTTTCTAATGGTGGCTTGTCCCAGATCATTTGATGACTACAACTGTGATAATAATATGATCGTTGTAAATCCTTTACATTTTTAAAATTAAATTGAAAAAATTCTACAATCAGCACTTGTCCGTGACTGATTACGTGAAATGTTTGAAGATACCAAAAAAACATTTTCTTCACGGAATTCTATTTTCCCTCCTGATGACACTACAGGCCTGACCGTAGCTGCTACCTTTGCAAATCGTGATGACTCGACCGAGCTATGTTGACTGGAATATACGTTCCTGTAGGTTCGACCATTCCAGGCGGGTTGATTTGAGAACGATGAAACTAAAAACAGCTACTCAAAGTCTGAGGGCGAAGTCGTACTGTCGACAGGAGAGCAGTGACAGCAGTAAAGTGTTTCCCTTGGACAATCAGCATCTTGGTGATGTTGCCTTCTTGGAATGGAAGGAGAGGGTTAGAAAAGGTTGACCCTAAAATTTCACACCACACGTTACCTAACGGATTTTCGTCTCCACCGGTAAGACGTTTTGAAGAGTGGAAGTGACAGGTTAAAAATTTCAAATCGAAACGCCGGGTGACACTATCAGCAACAACTTTCTCTGGCAGAGAATGAACCAGCTGTCAGTTGAGAAAGGAATTAGGAATAAGACCTGAAGGTGAAAAGGGCACATATGTCAGTAACCATCAAACTGCGTCGTAGGATCCGACAAGAATCATTCATTTGACTTTATCTTGTCCAGATAAAGAACTAACTCGATTTACTCTTCGTGTATCTGAAGGTCACAATGTTTTTTCGCATGTTCTCTTTGGTGTCGATAAGTATTGATCTGAAAAGCGGAACTAGCTCTCTTAGACAGAAGGCTCGAATGGCTTTTGCGAAATTGCGTCATTTATGGAGTAGACGAGATATCCGCTTAGTAACCAAAGGACGAGCCTTATGCGCAGCAGTTCTCTCCGTCCTACTATATAGGTGTGAAACATGGCCACTAAGAATACAGAATATTTGTAGGTTGCTAGTGTTCGATCGTAAGTGTCTCCGAAGCTTGCCCGTATATCCTCGGATAATCGAGTAAGCAATGGTGGTGTTAGGTAAATGGTACTGGGTAAGGATGGTAGGTCAGTTGATGAAGTAGTGATTCTTCATCAGTTGAGGTGGTTCAGACATGTGTTACATATGCCCAACCACTGACTACCTCGACGAGCAATGTTTTGTGATGTAGAAGTAGGTTGGAAGAAAACTGGCGGTGGTCAAGCCAAAACATGGCACAAATCCATGAAGTCACTGACAACTGAACTGAGCCGTGTTAGTAAATGTAGACTACCAGGTTGGGGTCCACGAGACGATAGTAACCGATGGTTAGAGACCTGAAAGGATATGTCTGAAAACTGTTTGCAATGTTACAAGTGCATCCATTTCTTGTGTTCGATGACATTCTAATCTTCTGAATTCCTCATCGCCTTTATCTTTCTCCTTTTAAATATATATCACTAGAATATACTCCTTGAATAACATCTTCAAACCCTAATCTTTCCTACTAATGTTCATACTTCTACTTTTACCAGTATGAGACTTGAATTGATAATTTTGTCTCTGTACTAATGTGGTACCGAACATTCTACGTTTTAGCTGAGTGAGCTGACTGATGGGCTGTTTTAGTTCTTGTTTTGAAGATGTATTAGGCTAATTGTACCATGAAGCTATTTGATGCGGGATTGAATCCTCCATGGAGCATCAATTCACTCAAGATTGTTAATAGACTTTGCTTACGAATGCCTAATAGCACGAAACCTAAGTTCAAGGTTCCCTGAGATATATCAGTTTGCATCGTCTACTCATGTACCAGTTTATTTCTGTTAACTTCTTTTCAGTTGACTTCCTTTATGTGTGTTATTAGAAATGTACTTACTCAAGTCATTGCTACAGTAAGCGCTTCTTTTTTATATCTGACAATAGACAGCTATAATATTTTTTTTCTATAACGAATCACAACATGTTATTTGATAATGATTATAAAATAATAATAAAAATAATAATTTATTTTGTGTTATCTCAATGAGTAGAAAATCGTATTTCTGACGTTTAGTTACTGAATGTAAGTCATTTCATTAGACATAAATTATCCCTAGTTTAAACAGTTAAAAAGAAACAAAATAAGATATTTTTAGTGCATTCAAAATCGACGTGATTCTTTATGAGACCACTGAGTTCATTTGTGCATATGATAGGCGTTATGAAAATATGTAATTTGTAATATAAAGTAGCCGAGTTAAAATTTTGTGTGTAGATTGCATGGAAAATTAATAGAGTTAAGTGAAGTTGTTTGAAGAAACAAACTGTTGGAGGAATAGTCAGGCGTTCAATCTTATTTCAGGCAGAGGGATTTAGCGTTATATGAAGTGTTTTGGATACTCACTCCTCTTTATTGTCAGGAAACTATCTCACCATTATTTTGATATTTTCAGTATCCATCTGGTGGTTTCTGAAAGTAGCATGTCCTCTTATTTGTAAATTTGCCAGCTCAACTGGATTATTCGGTGTTTTTGTGTATCCTAAATGTTCTTTGGGATGAGTTGGGATTTCATGAGAAGACTTTTCTACATAGAAGATGTCATAATCGACACTATCTAATCTGTAGACAGAATTTTACGTAGATGTAAAAAGAGTAAGTTGCCTACAGACTGGAATTGCATTTGTCACTTCAGACAGGATCAAGACAATATCCATCAAGCTATAAACTGGTCACCCTCAGCAGTGTCATAGTTAATAACAAAAAAGCTATAAATAACTTCGTGAAAACAGATAACTTGTTAAACAGTGAGCACCATGGTTTTAGGAAAGGATTGTGAAGTACAAAAAACCTACTTATAGCAAGAGGTCTATGGACGGAGTCGCCAGAAAGGGAAAAATCAGTGGATGTTTCCTACTTAGACTTAAGCAGTGCATTTGATAAGGTGTCTAACAATATACCCTTCTAAAAGCTAGGAAATCTAGGAATTGCCGGACTTCTTTTTAAACAGATCAACGATTTCTTGGTAGGTCGAGGACAGAAATTAAAAATAGATTCTAAATCATCCTCCTGGAAATCAGTACTTAAAGAGGTATTTCAAGGATCTGTTTTTGTTCCTTTACTCTTTATACTGTGTGTTAATGAACTCCTGAGCATCGTTGGGGATGCGGACGCATTTATAGTTCGTTCTGACTTGGACGTTCTGGTTAGCTAGTCTAAAACATGGCTGATTTCTACCAAGGCGGTTGATTGTGTCTAAATGGATAGTCGGCATACAAAGACAAATTGACACAGCATTGGGGAACAGTCGATATCCGTAGTCCAGTGATCTTGGGGTGGTAGCAAGCCACCATCTTAAAACAACTGTCCATTCAACGATAACGGTTATTGTTGCTACTTTTTGTATTTTTTTCAAGTGGTTTTTACTCCCTAATGACAAGCAGATCTACATTTCTACACTACAATCATCGTATAACCCAAAGTTTCTCAAAAAGAAAGGAAAACAATTATGCATTGTTTATTAAGAATTTTTAGTGGTTTAATGATTGTAAAAGGCTTCCCGCAACTGTTATAATCAACTAAAAATTTGGGTTGAGCTCTTCATGTTGAGAATTTTCATTTTCAAATCATGATTAATAGTACGTATTGAAGTGATGATGCATAGTTCATCTCACTGGTTTAGTTATTATTTTAGGTTTGTTTGAGTTATTGAAATGTGATTTTATCGTTACTATTATTTTAGCGGCACTTTATTACGAATATTCTTTCTAGTTTTTAAACTAAGAAATATTTCTCTTAACATCATATAAACATTAGCTTTATTCTAGTGGAAAATTGATTTTCTCAGAAAATCACTTATCTTTATTGTGTAAGTTAATTTCACTGGAATTTAACAGATGTCAATTATTCCAAGGTGAATAAGCTTAAAAAATACTGATTCATAAAATTTTAAGTCAGTTGAGACAAAGGCAGTAATACTTTTGCATCAAAGCATAGCTTGTTAATGTGTTATAATTTCAGTGTTTTACTTCTTCGTTCACAAAACGCTCGCTGTCAGGGCGGTTTAAAACGAAGGAGAGTATTTATTCGAAAACTATTGAGAATACTCTTCTAATCTATTGAGATATTTTTCGCTATCTTACGGCTGAACTGAAAGGCGGGTAAACAGTATACGGATTATACCTAAATGGACATTATTTGTCGGTTATTCATTTGAAAACTCGAGCCAGCACGTATTCGTATCAGGCCCGACTTCGATTGATGTTTTTTTATACCATTACTTATTGTTTCACCATTGAATGATCAACTCGCAAACTTCTAAAATAGGCAAACTTATTTTTACGGTTCAA